TTTGCCATTCATTTCCTTATAAGCATTAAGGTTATGGACAGGTACTCAAACCCATCCTGCACTTTAACGTAGAACTTATGAAAAGCTAAATTATCTGGTGGTGCACTGCTGCTTTTTTAAAGTGAAATGATCTAGATGAGGTAGTGCCTAGTAAGCATCTTATCAGGAAATCTCCTGGGCAGTTCCCTCTAGGGGTTTTATACGCCACTTTAGCAGAACAAGACCACAGGGCAAACCCTGAACTGACTAAAGGGACTCTGTGTTCCCTCTGGCTTGGAGAATGCCATGGGATTTCCCAGACTGAGTTTCAGAGGAGCACTGTGCAGTCTAAGCTTTCCTCTTGGCCTTGCAATGCCCTCAACCTGAGCTTGTTCAGGAGAAATCAAGAATGTATGCATTTCAGATCAATGTTTCACTTTATTGCAGTTGTTAATAGTTAGTAGTTTCTAATGCAGCCAAAACACCTGAACATATTTGCTGTAACGACATAACAAAAAAATTCTAGAGAAAACGACACCTAATTACAGTTTTTAAGGAAACAGGACTACATCACTACGACTGACATCGTTTAGTAAATTTTGACATAATGGCAAAAAAACAAACTCTGAGCATGTAACTCAGTGATGACAGAGGCGAAGGGTAAGGAGGACTTTGTTATCAATTCAACAACTTTAAATCTTACTATAAGGGAAATACTCAATGAAGCTCCAGTTTTATAAATACAGATTTATAATCTGATTTTATTTTTTATTTATTTTAATTCTTGCCAGGCAACATATTTATGAGTTTTTTTATTTGAGATGGAAAGCATAAAATAATAACAAATAAATGCTCAAATTAAAAGATTAAGTAAAATAGTCTTTATTTTACAATTGGTTATTGTGCTTTCCACTGTTGGGCAGTCATCAATCCTTTTGACTGAGAGGGGTACTCATGAAATGAGATTATCTGTAACTGCTAATGGGCATAGAGAAACCCATGACTTTCTTGCTTGGAGATTATAGAGCTAATTTCTGCTGCCCACTATTGCCTACCTATCCACATACTAAAGAGTGTCATCTCTTATACATATTATTTCTCCTTTTCTCTTCTGAAGGAAAACATTACGTTCAAATACTAAATTATTGTTACACATCTTGTGCTGAGTTAGTACCACTCATATGAACTTTATTCTCATTGTAGCTTGCACCAAGACATCCAGTGCCTGACACATAGTGTAAGCACTCCAAGTCTTGAGGCATTAGCTTGAACTTTGACCTTGAGGTGGCTACTGACCTGATGGGCTGTTCACACACATCACATGTTCATACTCCATATGAGCACAACAACCTTCCCCACAAATCAACATGTCAACACACACGTGCACTCATGCAAGCCTGGAATCACGGCACACAGCGTGGCATGGAGCGGACTATTGGCAGGGGTGAAGTGACGTGAACTCTCTCTTCACCAACTCATTTGCGCTCTGCTGGAGAATTTGTTACGCATGGGCCGTCTGCCACATGCATTTTAAAGGGCGATGGGGCCAGAGTTAAGCTGGGATAGCTGCATTCATCACGCACACACACTGACACTACTCGGACGCATGTTGACTTCCTTCTTTTGGTTTACCGTCAAATGCCATGTTGCATAATGTCAGAATTTTTCTCTTTGCCAGCTTCTGTCCCTGTTTTGTTCCTCTTTTCAGCCTCCTTACCCTCTGCCTCTGTCATCACTGAGTTACATGCTCAGAGGGTTTTTGCCATTATGTCAAAAATTACTAAGCACAAAATCAGGTAACCACAAAAATATAAACACAAAGTGTGTTGAGAACGATCAGTCAAATGCTTGATATTTACAAGAAAATTGCTTCATCCCAAACACCCAGTCAAGATCCAAATAGGTCAACATCTTCTTTGAGTTTTATATTGGTGATAAAACGCGTCAAGGTACTATACATCTGTCCCCCCATGTGGTCAGGGAACATAAGTTAACAAAGACCATCAAGAAAGCCAAGGAACATAGCAGCGATCAGGAAGAAAGTTTGGAAGGTTTCTAAAACAACCAAAGACTTGAACACCTTCCTGAGTACAGTTCAGTCTGTTGGTTGAAAAGGAAAAAGTGTGCCACAACTGAAAAATCTATTAAGATATGGCCTACAGTAGCCCTGGTTCCATTCTTATATTAAGTCAATATTGAACAAACTTTTGAAATGTCAAAAAAGAGAAAGCGAATTATCAGTTGTCCCATCAATTTAAGTGAGTTAACCTGGTAATGAAGAGCATGATGTTGTCATAAATAGGTTACATGTGGCTGAAATAAACAGGATATAGACGTAACAAACTAGGGCGGACACCAGATAAGTGATACAGTGGGTTTATTAAGAAGTTTTTGGCAATCAGGCAAGTTGTACTAACTTAATCATGTCACCTAGTATTAGAGATGCTGCATGCTATTAGTAGACAACATGTTTGATGCATGAAAACTTGCTTCACAAATTATCAGGTTGCGTGGAGGTTTTTTGAGGACCCAAATGCAGCGATGAGGAGGCAGAGATAAGTCTGTAGATTTTCCATAGTAAACTGAGGCAAAAATCAAAAATACTGAAAACCAAATTCTAGGATAACTTAAAAGAAAAACACACATGAGGAGCCAGGAAACGACGGTGCAACAAAACAACAACAAGCAACGAGCAAACAGTGACTGAACATGAAGTGTATAAATGTAAGACTGAACAAAGACCAGGCTAATGAGCAGGTTGGGGAAAGGTGTAGACAGAGGAGTCTAGAAGGGCAATAGACAAAAAGAGACTGACACAAGAGGGCAGTAGAGGGCAAAGAATACCTAGGAACTCAAATACAGTCGAAAATAACTAGAATAACACAAAATGAAATGAAACCAATGAACTAGAAAACACAGAAAGGCATGAATCAAAGTATAAATGAAAACCCAAAAAAGAAAACTTAAACAGAACCAAAAAGTGCAGTCATGACACAACTAGGTCTGAATTTCTTTCCTGTATCATCTCTTCTTCAAAAAAGTCAGAAATCAGCTCAAGCAAAGACTTCTTTTGCAAAATGTAGTCATTGATTTCAAGTTTGCTGTTTTCTTCAAGCTCTTCTAAGGCAATGCTCCAAAATGCCCATAAAAAATGCAAACACAAAATGCAAGAGTAAATCAAAGAGATAGACAGCTAATTAAAAATCAACAAGACGGTTAGTCTTGCATTCCATAAAATCTTACCTTATAGAAAATGTTCAGGAAAAAAGGCATTGGATGTATTTGGTGTGACTTGCTAATACAAGGATGTAAAGAAAATTCCTTTGGTCAAAAAGACACCATGTATGAAACATTGTGGTTGTGGTGAGGGTGGTGTTCCTAAGCAGAGACAGGCGATCCGGACACAGTTGAAGTAGAGGCCAACTCTGGAAGACAATCTCTTAGAATCTAGCAAAAAGACGGAGGAGGTCCAGCTTCCAGTAAGTTCCTAAAAATATTATCACAGCTATAGTGGAATAATTAAGATTAAAGTGCATTTTTGTATTAGAATGGCCCAGTCAGGAAGACAATCTCTTATAAACTAGCCAAAAAACGGAGGAGGTCCAGCTTCCAGTAGGGTTGTCAAAAGTATCGATACTCAAAAAAGTGTTGATACTGAAACGTTGTATCTGGATACAATACTCATTGTTAAAAGTATCGATACAGTGCCACCACCAGTGGCACCTAAGCAGTCATTCATCTAAAGTGCAGAATAGAGGACAATGCACTTTCTGAACACTGTGTGATTGAATAATTCTGTGCACTTTTCAGTTTCAGTCTTTTTTTTGTAACAGGTGCAGCTGCTGAGAATTATTTTTGTTTCTTAACCGGTTTGGCTAGTATCATTGTTATGTGTGTAAAGCATAGCCAAGGAAGGAACACTTAATTTTAATTTTATAAGTTTTTTCTTATCAAGCTTGCTTAATATTGTGCACAGCATACAACCTTTATTTTATTTATTTATTGTATTTAATTTATTAATGAAAATATTTCTGTAGAATTTTGGAGTGTCTGTTTTTATCCTTGTGGTATCGAAAATGGTGTCGAGTATCGAATATTTTCCCTAGTATCGGTATCGAGTTAAAAAGTTCAGTATCATGACAACCCTAGCTTGCAGTAAGTTCCTAAATATATTATAACAGCAATAGTGGAATAATTAAGATTAAAATCCATTTTTGTATTAGAATGGCCCAGTCAAATCTAAATCTAAGGTGTAATTTATACTGTGATGTTTAGAGGCACTCTTCATCTAGTCTCTTTATTTTGCAAAGAAAAATATACTGAAAAATAAATGCATAGCAAACTTTCCTGATTATTTGCAGAAGAATTTTAAAGCCATGTATCATTTTTCCATTCTCTTCATAAATAAGTGCTCGTTGGTCCTTCATGAAATACTCAAAAGTCTGTGACTGTGAATATATTAAAGTTTTCAGGGCTCTGGATCCTTTTAAAGTACAGCTATGCCTTGGGGGAAAAAAAACAACTATGGTAGAGGAGCAGCAAGTGGAGCGGCTGAGAATAGGAACATGTTTAAAACCAACTTTTTTTTGGTGAAGCAGACAAAAGTAAATGTTGAGAGGTCAGGGGAGGCGTTTTCATTGGTTTTCGATGGCAATATAGCACAAAAGCAATGTGACATATGACAAGGTTTACAGTGGAACAGCTGTGAAGGGAAGCCTCCAGTCGCCTGCTTCTCATCTCAGCCTGACAGGAAGTGTCATCTCAGAGTGTAGCGCCGAAAGCTGTTCCACCGAGTGCTACGCTGATAGGTTCACATTGTTTGTGGAATCTTCTGGTATTGTAGAACACATGGACTGTTAAGGTGAACTGGATTATTGTGGATTAAACCACCAGAAATTAACTTGAATGTTCCTGCGTTTCGGTCAGAAATATTGTAAAATATTGTTACACTTACAGAGTTTACTGTGGAGACATCTTATATTTGCAGTACTTTGTCTTAAAATGGTCCTTTCCCTCCACAGCTGGCATCCAATAATTCAGACAACAGCAGCCAGACGACTGCAGCTGACAACAAAGGTAAGATCTCATAAAACTGAATTGAATTGAGAGAATGTTCTACAGTGTTTGCTGTTTCCTTTCCTTTTCATCGTTAGACACTGATGGACGTTTGCCAACATCTTAGCAGTGAATAAGACCAGTATCTTAAATAAGAATTAATGTCAGTTTAGACAATTTGGTAATTATTAAGACAACAAAATAGTTGTATTTTCTCGTTTATATGAAAGTTCAGAGCAAGTTCAGAGCTTAAGAAATTATTGTCGAGTTAATACTTTTACATTAAACACAAGTTTTTGTTTACGTAATTTCTGAATTTGGTCAGATGTAATCTTTAAAGCCTCTTATGGATTAAGATTTTCAGTGCTTTAAAAAAAACAGATTTACCACTGACTCTATGGTGGTCTTTTCTCAGATCATCAAGTCATTCTATTTTCCAAATATATTTGTTTAGACACTAAATGATTCTTCAGGTCATGCTCTCTCCTCATTGTAACTATTCTATGTGGAATTGATTAAGGCAATTTTTGAAAGCTTTAACATTATCCAGACTTTACTAATACGCATTACTGTTACAACAGAAAAACATATACTTTTTAATATTTTTCTTGCTATTTTGTTAGCCGCTATGCTAACTTATGTTAGCATACTGTAGCTGGACATAAGTGTCTTGTAATCAGAACAAAATGCATTAGATTTAACTTTTATCAGTTTATTGTTATTGTGTTGTGTATAATGGTAAATCTTAATAAAACACAGTGAAATATTATGAGAGAAATGCTTTGTTTTCAGACCAGAATCTATTTGGACAGTTTTGCGGGTCCACCTGCCTGAATGTCCACTAAAACCTTTGTGGAACAAATGAACCACATTGTCACTCATTCAGTCACAATGTGGTTCTATTCATTCTGAGACTGCATTCAAAGTTTCAAAGGGATTTTCATGATGTTTGCAGTGTTTATTTTAGGAAAAGAAACTTGAAAATTATGATTTTAGCTGTTTGAAAACCTATAATTAAGAAACATGTCACAATAGTGGTTTCACGTTAAAAATATTCTTTCATGACTTTATATTAGGCATCCCAAAAGTCGGTCCTCAAGGGCTGCTGTCCTGCAGACTTTAGAGGTTTCCCCCCTCCAGCAAAGCTGATTTGCATTGATAGTTGATTAACAGGCTTTTGCTTAACTGCAATTATCAGAATCAACTGTTCTAAAGCAGATAAACCTCTAAAACCTGCAGGCCCTGGAGGACCAACTTTGGGGGTCGCCCACTTTCTATCACCCTGCGTCCATGTATGACGAGAGGGATACCCCGTGACATCAGTATCTGACAGGCGGGCTGGGGGGGGGAGTAGCAAAACAGGGAGGTAGAACACTTAAGAGATCTTTACCAGAATGTCCAGGAATTTCAGCAGTTCAGGTAAACAGTGACCAATCTTTTAAGCCCTTTTTAAGGTTGTACACTGGTACTTGCTGTCATCTTAGAAGGTATAACCTTAAGATGTGTCAGCAATGCTCTAAAAGTCTCTGGTAATTGTTTTGCTGCAACTAACTCACCAGGGTTTCTTTTGTACGTTGCCTCTTTGACCTTCCGCAATAACAAAAGTGCTTACATGGTGTCTAATAGAGGGATCAAACTCCTGTTTTTCCATGAGCTAAGCACCGATCCAAGGCAGTGGTTTGGCAGGAATAAGCTGCGTGTCAGCTAGGAGAAGTTGGCACTTGTTTAGCCTTTCTCATCAATAACCAATTCCAGTGCCGGAAACTTTCCATCTATCAATGCAGCCCTATAAGCCAGCAAGTGCTGCAGATTCAGACTGAGATTAAGGGGCTGTGTCCCGAATCTCCTCATTTCTTTTTATGTTTTCCCCAAGCCTGCTGCAGAACACAGAACATTGAAAAACCAAATGTGATTTTTTTTTTTTATACCTGTTCATCACTAAAACGTCTTCCTTCCTTTTTTCTGGTTTCCATTGCTTTGTCTAAAAATGAATAATGGAGGACTTTTTACAATTGATATCTGAAGCAAAATGCAGCATTTCTGCATACCTTCTAGGTAGCTGACAAAACGTTTGTGTATAGAGGGGCTTTACAGTAGAGGCAGAACTATTTATAGTGATGAGTCATTGTTTTTCAGTGCGTGCAGGTGAAGGTTTAATCCTTTCTAAAATCAATGCACACATGCTGCCACACAAATCCAGCTCAGATCGTTTATTACTGAGGTTTGAATCACCATTTTCGTTGCATCTTCTGACAGAAGAAAGCAGCATCAGTTTTTTCATGAGGTTTGATTCCAGGTTAGCTTGGTTACATTTCCAATATTGTTAAAAATATCTTTATCTTTAGCCATAATCTAAGGATATCTTTAACCATAATCTACAAGATTATGACTAAAGATAAAGATATTTTCATCAATATATTTTCATCAATATATTTATTAATTTCATTTTCTGAGAAGATTAAAAAACATATGTATATATTTTTTCTGATATACAGTTTTTTTAAACTGTAATTGTATTTTCATATGCCACCCTATATGCAGATTAATATTATCAAATACCCTCTAAACTGATAATAATAAAAACAAGAGTTCAACAAATATCTTTGAATGAAAGATCCTTAAAGTATGTTAGATGGATTAAATGGCCAAAACTGTAATATTTTTTTCTTGGCTGTGGTGCAGCCTGGGAATTTTCACACCAAATGTCAGTATGTTCAACATACAGCACAGGACATTTTAGTGTTTATACCAAACTGTACACATTATAGTGTAATCTGTACAGTTTTGTAAGTAAATTTTTTATATTTCAACTCTCTAAGCATGTTGGCGTGGTTTGTGTGATCCTGCAAACTTATCTGCATTGTTTTTATTTCTCTGACTTTGTCTACTTCTAGAAAAATCAAAATTTATCAAAAAAAGGAAAGAGTTTCAAATAATTCCCTGTGACTAAATTATTAAACTCACTGATATTTCTCAGATGTTCTGCTTTAAACTAATGTGAGATTGATTTCTGCCCTTCTAGAGAAGGCATCAGGAGCGAAGCCTCAGGAACAAGAGGAGGAAGTCGACATCGACTTGGAGGCGCCGGAGACGGAGAAGGCAGCGCTCGCCATTCAGAACCAGTTCAGGCGCTTCCAGAAAAAAAAGAAGTAGTCTGACTGACTGATTTAAAAAAAAAAATAATAATTATAATAATAAAATCAAGAAAAAATATATTTATTTCAGCAGATGTACAGATATCCAATCAATGACAGCTAGTGGTTTGGGGAAAATGGTGAAAGGATTTCAGTTGTTCAGGATTTATTGTCATATTATGCAAAGTGTCAGGAAATGCCTTTTTGCATGACAGATCAGTTATTAACAATGAGGAAGTTTTGTAGGGGCGAGGAAGAGGCTTAAAAACAGCAAAAAAATAAATAAAATAAATTTATAATCTAGCATGATGAAATACTGTAACCTCCCATCACCTCATTAACCTTTGCAAATGTCCCACATATCATCTCCCGTCTCTCATTGCTCCCCAGCGTGCATCTGAGCCCTTTTCCCTTTGCTCTTTTCACACACAAAACAAGCCCAGCACACACAAACACATAAGATCTGCATAGCAACCAACATCTCCATTATCACTTGCCACAACAAGCTTAGTTGGTCGATGCTCATGAAACAGGAATGCACAGAATGAAGAGAAGCACACCTTCCAGGTTCCAGGTTTGTCTCTTCCTCCCTTGGCTACTGCAAGGCTTTCTGTTACTCTCTGTCTGCCTCTGCAGGGACAGAAATATCACCAAGTAACTGTCTCAGGTGTGAAATCACCTCTATTGCTGGCCAGAAATTGGATATCCGCTGCATGCCAGTCTGATCTCACAGGTGACGAAGGTGGTGGTCATGGAAACTAGCTGCTATCTCACTCAGTTGGAGGCAGTTTCCTGCAGGGGAGCTTAATAAGTGATAGGAAGTACAGGGACTTCATGCAAGTCATTAATCCCATACAGTGCGGCAAATGAGTGACGCATTAGTGATCGGGTGCTCATGTGTCAACAGCTACTATAAATTTAAACAGCCTTTCAGCAACACAAGGTGCTGGTAACACATTCAGTTTGACAGGATATCCAATATTTACGCAAAATTTGTTCAGATATTGCTAGAAATAATGACCTTACTGAGGCTAAATTGTCTGAGAAAACTAAAGCTGATCACTGCTTTAGCAATGGTCAGGAGTTTTTTTTTTTTTTTTTTTGGCAGTAATATCCTTTTACGCAACTAATGGCAAAGTACTTATGTCACATAGTTTTAAAAAAAATGCTGAACAGAATATGGTAGAAAACGCTAACCAGAGGGGTACCGCAAGGCTTGGTGTTAGGCCACCTGTCTATGTCGGTTACTGTCGGTAATGTCCACTTCCACCACATGATTAAAAAATGATAATAAATCATGGCTAATTTACACACAGGGACACGTTAGACAATACAGTCTATTGACCAAAATAATATTCTTGCTACTGAACTGGTTTGGTTTTTTCTTAAGCATATCTGAAAGCAGCACACAGCATGTACAATACTGGGGCCAGTATTTCTCCTTTTGTTGGATTTGTGCCCCATGGAAAGTGAACCTTTTTAGGAAATTTAAAATCCATTTTTGGAACATGTGGCATAAATTTATGGACTTATATAGATATATTTTGAAAACATAACTTAACTGGCTGGAAAAAATAATAAAACAATTATTTATTGTCTGCAGTAGTGTTCAATCTTATCTCTTAGATAATTTGGAGAATGTCAAGATATGTTAGCATGTTATTTAGAAAACATGCTTATATCTTGTAGATATTTTAGAAATGGGGTTTAATTAACCAAGTCTTACCTATCATTTCCTTGGGCTCCTGATCTCAGTTTGTGCCTCATAATTTCCAAAAATATTGATTCATATCTTGTAGCAAATTCACCTGAATTTGGAAGATTCTGAACATAACATATGGAATAATCATTGATGAAGAATCATTAAGGAGAAAATAAAATTTCACCAGAGGTTAGTGAAAAAAATTTGTGAATAAGTAGGAAGTTTAAGGAACTCACAAAAAGATTTGTGTTGATGTGAACGGAAAATCGCATTGGTTGGCTTATTGATCTATTGGCCCTTTGTCAGTTACCAAAGACTAGCGTCTGAGAACTCTAAACCTCACTCAGTTTTGGGTTACCGGGAGCCACAGCAGGAAACTTAAACCTCTCCTTCCTTTAATAAACTCTTGATAATGAGTGGGAGTAGATAGCTGCCATGACCCAAAGTCCTCTCACTGTAAGGTCAGACATCCTGCAGGGGTTGAGCAGAGAGTAAAAAACATTCTTACCTTTAGTCCTATTCTAACTTACAGCACAGAAACTATAAGCACATTAATCCTACAATGCACATGTACTGTATAAACATACAACCCCTTCAATAAATGTAGCACACTTAACTGCTTTGAAGCCAGATTTATCTAGTGCTGTAATAATACTCTTACTAATTAAAGGAATTATTATTGGAAACTAACCTCTTTTCTATATCGAGGACAGAAAGCGGCCACACTTCTCCCTCACCATCCCCCCATTTCATTTATTACTTGAAGGAGATTTGTTGGAGACATCATCTCGGTTTGATTTCCAGCTCTTTTCCTGCTCTAGATGGAGCTGACCTGGATAGGTTTGTCTTTTTGTGGCAGGTACCCATCAAAAAGTTGTAGATTATTGAAAAGAAATTAGTTAAAATGATTACTTAACTAGACAAGATGTCCTTGAAGATGTTTTTAATGTATTTTGGGTAGTTATAAACTATTACCTAAGTTAAGCTCTTTAGATTTTGTGTTTGTTTAGTCTAAATGCCCTCATATGGATGGATATTTACTTTTCAGCTACTTCTAGTTGTGATGAAATGATTGCTCAGGACGGCAAGTCACACTGACTTTATTTAAAATTAAAAAAGCAGAATTTTTTTTTTAACTGGAAGTTTTATTATTTAATTCATAGTTTTCTGACATAGTCATTGATTTATCCATCATCTGCAAGCAAAATGTCTGTGAATTGGTGCAAACACATGTGGAAGTTTGGAATTAGCTGCTCACATCTAAATACTCTCTTCATACCCTAAACAGTTACTCCAGGAAATATAGCATAATTTATTTTGAGCTACATAAATTAGAATCACAATACCTCTTTAATGGCTAAACTAAATCCATGTAGAGGAAAGTAAAACTGAAAAGAAAAAAAAACAGGCTAACTACCCGATTCTTTCTATGCTTTTTTCACTCTCTTGAAGTGGGCACCTGAACTAAACCTCGTATTTCATTGCAGCAAATTTCACATTGTATATACCTATGAATCAAATAGATCGAGTTTTGATTATTTATACCACATTTGTTGAAGTCCTAAAAGTCAGATTGAAGGTGGTCAACCTCAGACATATTTAAATCTAAAAACAGTCAAATAAAGTCATATTCATGTGAAGCATGACTGGGCTGCTGTAAATGCAGAGGGACTGTCTATGTCTGGAGGCTGTAAATAGCTACCTGGTAGAATTTAAACGGCCTTAATGTTGCTTGGCAACTGACTCAGCTGAAGAAGTAACGCCATCCTGGTCATTTCAATGTGACTTGTGATAAGCCCTCCGAAACGAAACAGTGAGATGGGTAGAGTGAGGGGACCTGTCAGTGAGAGGTTTTCAGATCACCGCTAAACTCCAAAGGGAAGAGAAGAGTTTGGGTCAAATTCTCCATAACATAAATAAACCACATTACCATCGATGTTCCTGCTACTCATCATCCAGTCTGCATGCAGTCAAATCTTAAGTACAGTGAAGTGTATCTACTTTCTACAATCAAGAGGTTTCACTTCTTTGTGGTATAATAGCCAGTACTCCAATAGCCTATTGTGTGTTACACAACTTATAAATTATTAATAAGCCATTTGAATGGGTGCATTTTGCTTACTTAGCTACTGTGGTAATCACAAGATAGAAGCTCCTGCATTTCAGCATGTTTAAAGTGTATCTATGAGCATTAACAAGACGTTTCAGGTCAGATTTGCCAAGAAATGATTTCCCAATACGTTTCCAGTTTGATTACATTTTCTTTGTTTCCACTCCAGTTCTTTTGGCTGATTTCATAGACTTTTAGCTCCGACTTCCACCCAGAGCATGTTAGGTCACTGGCTTGGTTTTATTTTTCCTTTTTCTTGATGTCTTTCTTTTTCAAAGCTGTGTTTTTGCTTTGCTTTGTTAGCTTGACCTCATTCCACTTTCCCCCTGAAGGCAACCAAATGCGGGGTTCGCCGAGCACAGCTTGGAAAGGCTGGGCAGAATTAAAAGCCCGTCCCGTTGCCTTGATCATGAATAGAACAACCGTACAAACACTTTATCCAAGACGGTTTAAGTAAGACTCCCCAGCATTGTACCTAAAACCCTCCTAATGCTGTGGCACACAGCATCTTAGCGAAATGCAGCCGAGGCTTTTGTACATAATGTTCACACTCCCCAATGTTTGGACGCCACACCGTCTCTCTAAATCCACGCTTGCCAGCGCATTATTCACCTCCTCTTGCATATGCTCATCTACATCACCTTATTATGCTTGAGAAGAATCTAGTGATGGGGAGAGTAATTGTTTTGGTATGCACAAAAGGATTCTGGGGCTCAGCTTTACAGCCTAGAGATGACATCTAAGCCATACTTTAGAGAAAAAAAAAGCATATATTTAGATAATCTCTTCTTGCACATTCCTTACTTTGTGTTGTCTCCGAAACAGCTGTGATGAAAACCAAACAAATACATCATCTCCCCTCCAAATGCTACTGAAAGAATCTGTCCTGTAAATTGTAGGCTGACTGTTTGACTGTGAGCGGAACAAAAGCAGGAGTGGGAATCCAGCTCGCCTTGAAGAGCATTGTAAGCACACAATGTGTGGCCAGTCAGTGACCAGTGTTATTTCAGGGAGGCATCCAGCAATCAGGAAGCTCCCCCACCTCTTAACCCACTATAATTATTACTGCATCATTAGTTCTCCTACCATAACTGAGTCGTAATTTATTACTGCTTTTTTCTGGAACTTATGTGAATTACCTGTGTTGTTGTGATCTTCTCCAAACTGTTGTGTTCTGACGTGAAGGCATGTACAATCCATATTTGTATGTTTAACACAATAAATTTCCCTTCAATAAACAGACATTTTAAACTTGAATGTGTCGTTGGACTTTTCTGGAGGTGAGGACTTTGGTTCTACTCACTTTGGAGCTGGTTTTCGTTATGTTGCCATCACGTGAATAAAAGTAAGACCTGTAATTCTCAAGATGTCATTCATTCAGTTCAAGGAGGTATCTTGGTCTGGACCCATTAGGGAGATGATATGTATGAACACCCCCCCACCTCCCCTTAATGTGAGTTACTTTCGGTTCCCTCTGGGTGCTGTTCCAGTTCAGCCACATTTATGAACCACGCCATATAATGTACTATGCTCATCACAGAGCTGGAATTTAGGAATTTGGAGCACTCAATTATCCACAAGATAAATAGGACACCATGTCGTTACATGTCACCTTGACCAGTTTATTTAAAATTACAAATTAGGAAATACATGATGACATCTTTACAAAAATAAAGGATTAAAACTAAAATAGATTTGATTCATTGTGACTTAAGGATTTCTGAGCCAGATATATTTTAAGAAAACCACACTAAGTAGAAAGGTTGGGAATAACCAAAAAGATATTTAACACTTTGACATTTGACTTTCAACCTCCCTTTTTCTAAAGCAGGTATGACATTTCTCCAGGTAAATCTTTATCCCTTGTTGTCTGGGTGGACCAAACATCCAGTTAAAGATCTTCACCAAAATAACTTGTAACAAAATGGCCTAAAAAGTAAAAGTTAGAAACAGCAAAGTGAGCAGCATCATTGAGAAACATTCCTTGAAGTTTTTAGACCTGACCTTAGACAATTTTTACAATTTCCAGCATTTAACAGGTGTACCAAATACACCGAGACCCCAAAGCGCAAAACATTTTTGCCAAGACAGAACTTATGTGGAAATATGGTTAATATGAGGTATGTATTCAACATAACCTCTGGATAGCAAGAATAGAATTTTTTTTTTCTCAACAGATGTTGTTGAAATATTCCATGTTTGCAAAGATAATACATTTACATTCAATACCCATCCTAGACACAGCAAATATATGATGAAAGCAAATGTTTTTTACAACTTGTTATCTAAAGGAAAAGTCGGTCAGCAAGAAATAATCAACGTATCAAAAGAAGCTAATACATCCGCGGTGATTTAATGAATTCAGTGAAAAATAATAATTTACGTCACAATCACTGAGTCCAGGAAAGGCCGTTTTTGCCCAAATATAGTAACACCTCACTCCCAGTGGCGGCTGGTGAAAAATATTTTTGGTGGGGCTGATATAGCCTAGTTATGTCTCCAACTAATCCAGAATAAGAATTCAAATAAACAATTGGACAATAAATACAATTTAACAGTAATGATTTAATTTACTATATAATAACAGCA